TTTGCGACGGCATCTACATCGAAGCAAGTGATTTACATGGGAGGGGCTTGACAAGTGCAATATCTTGCATCGATAACTTAAATAAGCTTTGTTACTCGAGATGCGATACAGTTTTCTTTTCTTGTTTATTCACCGTGCAAAAAAATCTGATTGGATAAAAATATTTTGACGTCATTTATAAATTGACGTAAAATATTTAGCTAATTGCAGAGAGAAACAGGTAACAAAATCTGAATAACTATTTAAGACGAGTGGCGTAACTTCCCGATCTTCTCATCTTACTATGGATACTCCCAGAGAGGTGAAGTGACCTCTATGTGATCGCTGACTCGGGGGTATCCACCCCTAAATCTTAACCTAACTTTGTCCCTATATTCCCACATCATATAAGAGCTCACTTGAGCTAGAAGTGACCTTTATGTGATCCGGATCGGGAGCTCTTCCCCTTACCTCATATTTTATTAACGTGATTACAAGTATAAATTTACGTTGACCAGTGCTTCTGTTATTTCTCTTGTTATATTGCTATTAACACAGTACTCTAGTCGCCTACGGGCATCAACACAGCTGGAGAAGTGGAGTGCCCGCTCCGCGGGCAGGTACTTCGTACCGCACCTCAGCCTAAGCCTTCCCGATCTTCAGACTGTCGTAACGGGCGAGTGGCGCGTCTTAAGATTGTTTCAGTTGACTCCCAGGCATAATTGTTATGGTTGTTTTCTTACCAACCTCAAATATACCACATATATACCTCAAAATAACCACAAAAACATCTTAAATTTTCGTTAGAGAATTGCATTTCATGTTTGAATGCTTGTTAGCTGTCTGTAGGATTCTAACCAAAGAACTCTGGGGTCGTAGTCGGGAAAGGGTATACACTCATAAAAAAGGGTGTAGACCATAGAGTTGAAATACTGAGGTACTATACGTACTATTTCAACTCTATGGTGTAGACCCAGTTCTGAGTCAGTTAGGAAACTTCATATTCAGTGGCCACCGCACAGCTTAATTCCAGCTGGTGCTACTGAAATTGCTCCTTCACTTACAAAAAAAAAAATCCAAAAGCCTTACCTACACCAAATTAAACACGAATTAAAATTTGAAAAAAAAAAGCCATCAACCTGTTAACAAACGCTATTCGTGATCGCAACGCTCGAGAATGCCCTCTAGCGGGAGCCTGTAAATATCAGACATTAATTTATCACGTTTTCATTCAGTTCCATCAGAAACACTGGCAGAGTTGGTCGCCATTTTCTTTGCACGAAATAAGAAGCAAAATTTCCCTAAGGAAAAAGCCGAAAAACTTGAAAAAACTCTCCAGATTGTCAAATCTCTAAGAAACAGATCACGCCAAACATTTGAAGAAAATTCCTCAATAATTTTCAACTTCTGTTATCAACAAACTTGCAACCGATAACTTCCGATTTCGCTCTCGCATACTGTTACAGATGTGTGTTTTAAGGTAAAATGCATTTCTTCCGTCTTCAATTCATTAAACATTAAAGTGAAGTTAACATTGCTTTCGTCATTCCAATAAATAAATGGGAATTCAGAACGTCAAGAACAGCAATTGTTATAGAATATTCTTCTTTGTTATAGAACGGTATATATTTCTGTATCTAAATAATTCGGAAAACAACAATAAAGAATCATCCAAATTACTTGAAATAGCGTCATTTGTGCTGATGATTAATAAATTTTTCATCGTTTTCTTGGTAAGTATTTTTTAGTTTTGAAAGAATAGATAATTTCAACTAGAATTCAGCTCTTCTGTTTTTAAGCTACATATTCAAATTCATATCGAGATCTTACAATTATAAAATTTTGATGTGTGGTATGTTATCTAAAAGTAATAAAGGGATAATCTATGTACATATTATTTGAAAATAAAACTTTCAAACGAAGAACATTTCATTTGGAATTCTGCAGATTTATAAAGAAGGTAAGTGTCATGATTTTTATAATAAAAAATTACCTTGTAAAATTTTTTTTTTCTTATTTGATGATAGTTCTCTACAGAATGCTTTTTTACGTCTGATTAAGAATTATATGAATAAAAACAGAAACAGTATGGAAGTTTTTTATTTCAATATGAGGAATTTTTAAAATCGTTTTTTTTATCCTAAGAATTCTTTATTTTACGTTTTTTAGTTTATAATTTTTTGATAAAAATTGTTGTTAAAATAATTGTTTTGAAAAATTAAATGGTATAAAATTACGTGCTAATGTATACTTCTTGCATATTCTAATGTTTGAAGTAATATGATTAAAAAAAGTATGGAATAAAAATTCGGTACTAACGTAATAACGCCACCGCAACTACAGATTTGGTGGTTTTTAAGTGCCACCATTCTACACCAAAATTTTTACGACAAATCATAAAATAAAACACTTTATTTAAAATCAAAGTAGTTTATCGGATTTTGGTGGACAATGGGCAAAATATTTCGCTCCTGAAAAAATAAAATTGCATCTTGTTCTATTTTTGGCAAATCCCAAAGACGCATTTTCGTAGCACTAAAAAAT